GTTGTAGCCCCATTTTAAGTATTCCAATCCATTACAGGCAGAAGATGGGCTTACAAGCTTTCTATGTTATTTTTCTTTTGTTGAGGTGTTGAAATGTTCTAGAAATTTTAAAGAGTAGTCTCTTGTCTGATATGTCACTGCCAAAATTTTTTTTCCAGCTTGTGGGTTCTCTTTTTATTCTTTTATGAAATCTTTTGATATACATAAAGTTCTAATTTTTAGGAGGCTCAATTCATCTGTTTTGTCTTCTGCTGTTTGTGTGTTTGCAGTTACGTTTGATAGTATAATTTATGCCATGTATCAGAGCCCTGAGTTTGTCTCTGTTTTTTCATTGACAATTTTTATAGTTCTAAGTTTGCTAAATTATTTTTAATCCTCCTTAAATTCATTTTTGTATATGGCGTGAGAAAATCTAGCAACCTTTATTAAACAAAAATATCAAATGTGAAGCTATTGTGTTTTAGTGTATCCTTCTTCCATCTAGGTCTATATACTTCTGTTTCCATTTCTCTAATCTTTACTTGAAGAATTCTGCATTTTCTAATTTTCACCACATCAAAAAAGGCAATATTGACATCCTTGAGGGACTCAAATCATGTTCCTTTCAAATGTTCTTTGAATTTTAGAAACAAAAGGAAGTCTGAAGTGGCCCAATGAGGGCTGTAGGATGGATGAGGTAAGGTTTCCCAAGGAAATCCTAATAGGACAGCCCTTGCTAACCTGGAAGAATGAACAGTTGCTTTGTTGTGACGGAAAAAAAATTCCTCGGTGTAACTTTCTTGGTCTTTTTTCACCAGTGCAGTTTTTATGTTTTCTTTAAACTTCTTCCTGATAAGCCCCATGATTTTCCTTTTTCCTTTGAGGAAATCTGTCAAGATTACCACTTTGCAATCCCAGTAAACAGCCGCCATGACTGTCTGAACAGGCCCAAAGGATCCCCTTGGAAGCCAGGGTTTGGATTAGACCTTATTTTGAAGACATCCTTACAAGACTAAGCCAAGTGTTTTTCTGAGAGAACTGTCCTACAGCCATCCACTGATTGCAGAGACATGTTTAAACACCTTTTTTTGGAGTAAACCTGTACATGTATGAACCAGAACCCTAGTAGTCATGCTTTGTTCACTTACTCATGTATTTCCGCTTTTTTATTATCTTCTTACTCCTACCAGACTGTGTGACTATTCTCTTTAATTGCATTCTTGTTGTTCTGTTTCCAATACTTGAGTTTCCCTGCCTTCTCCCTTTTAAAAATTATTTTTGTTTTAAAATACAGACTATTTTTCATTGGAACACCAAATTCATGAGTAATGTCCCTTGTT